ATCTTTTCAAGTGCGCAAAAGTTAAAGTGGCGATGCGGGACCCGACCACCGGCTCAGCTGGGGCTGGGTCGGGTCAAGAGGAATTTACAGGACCAGACGAGGGGGGCGACGACGATTCCGGTGCTAGTTCTGGACATGACTGGGGGAAGGTCTGAGCCAGACCGATATAGAAATGCAGCAGGACTTTCCTGCCGCTTCTCTTCCCATTCCTGTGTCGACCGAAGCCTGCCCCAGGCCCCCTCCGGCCATGCTCAGGCTCAGGCTCCAGCTCCAGCATTCAAATATCTCAAGCAGGGCGAGCGCCCGAGCCTACCACTCTCTTGACGGAGACGCCGATGCCTGTGCGATTTCTGCGTGCCGCAAGGGTACGGGCAAGTCGCCCATTTTGTGCAAATGTGCGCTCAGCACACGCAGCGCGAGGGTGGACATTGTGGAAGGACGACAGAACCAAAACTTTAAACAAACGAGCAGGTTGTACATCCCGAAGCTTACGTGGGAACGTCAGATGTCACTGTCGACGTCCTGAGTCCTGATGAATGAAAGCAGTACCGGATGAGGAGCGAGCATAAAGGCAAGCTCCAGCCACGAAATGGTTCAGCATAGAATGTGTTTCAAACGAAGGGAGAGCGATTCTTCGACAAACTGGAGAATTGATGGTTGCATGGAATAGGTGACCAACTCTCGCTTTGGGTGGGCCTCGGACCCATGGCTCAGAAGGAGTTGACAGTAATTTATAACATGCTTGAAGGCCGGCGTTAACCCGGACTACACCCCAGAATTAAACAACACATGCATTTACTACCCTTGAGATTGTGAAACCCGCTGCCGAGAGTCTGAAAACAAGAGATTCAATGAACGCAGCTTCTGCAGCGTCTGGTGATGTGACCTGAGCTTAGCGGAGCCTGAGCAAAGCAATATATCTCTGCGTTGCATCTATGGACAAAAGGTCAGTTGACGCTACGCTGATGCACGAACGTTTGGAAATCTATAATTTAAGCTCGACGACATTGTCGTAGGCGTGGGAAACCGTATGGAAGGAAGCGAAGGGAAAGAAGCAAGTCGGCTGGACGAGCACCGACTTCTTCGCATCCTCACGTCCCACGCACTGAGGTCGGTGAGTAAGTCCGACCGCCACAGTGCCGAGAACTTCTGGGGGAGGACAGAAATTGGTAAAAAGGAAGCCATGCCAAGTTCACAGGCCCGTGCCCTCATGAATCGGAGTTCATGAGGGCACCTCTCGAAACGGGTAAGTTTAGAGTAGTGACTCTAGAGTGTGGCTGATGTCAGAAGCCTTAAGGGGAAAGGAAGGACGCCAGGTGACTGAAATGAAAAGGAAATACCGGACAAATACTTGTGGAACCAGGTGCAAGAAACGATCGAACCCGACGGTTCTTCTTCTCCTTCTTCCATTTCTAGGGCTGGATAGCTGGCTAGGGCCGAGCCGAGCCGAGCCTCTCTCTGGTGGTGGGGGACGAGAAGCTACCTAAGGACAAAGAAAGAAGCAAGCTGCGAGGTGAGGAGCAGAGCTTGTGCCGTGCCGAGGTGAAGCTGCGAGATGAAATGCAGCCTTGCAAGGAAAGCCAAAGGGGACGGTCCAGAAAAGTAATAAATTTACACTGATAAATTTATGCGCAAACAAGTGACGGATGATAAATGTTGGTGAAAGTGGCATTCATTGCGAGGTGCATGCATGGAGGAGATGAGGGTCGTTGGATTGCGGGTTGAGGGGCCGTGATGACATGCTTACGTCCCTCAGTCTGAGAAGCGGCAGGAGAAAGGCGGCTCCACTACTGGCTCACTCTGTGTATCTACCTCTTCAAACACTTTGTCTCTCTCACCAGAGATCTTGCTTCGAGGAGCTCCAGGCGAAGTCCAATGGGATGCCAGAGGTAGAATCATCGAGGGAGAGAGGAGCGAGCGGGCGGTCGAGGGAGCGACTACGGCTTACGAAAGAAAAGAAAAAGAGAAAAAGGGAGCGCTCGAGAGCAAAATTAGCTCGCAAACTCTTTTCCCATCTCTTGGTCTAGTTTGCGAGTTGTATGTGGATTGTATGAAATTGCTCTATCTCGTAATCTGTGGTCACAGATCTGTTGTTGTAAACCCCATGGAAAGTTCCAGAGGTGCCCATGATTGGGCTCCAGAGACCCATAGCGTGGAGAGCGGCAGGGAGACAGCAAGAGGTGGCCTCCCTCGCCTCGAAGGGGAAGAGGAACGGAAGAGAAGGAAGGGAAGGTCGGGCAGGCTTGGGGACGGACAGGACAGGGCAGAGCAGATACTATTCCTGTACCATTCGGCTGAGCTGAGCTGAGAGCAGAGCCCGAGAGCTCCAAGAGCTGACTCCCTGCCTCTATCTCTCCCTGGCTGCCCTCAGTGGGGCAGGCCAGGCCCGAGCAGGACAGTAGTCAGCAGCAAGCTTGACCTGGCAGACTTCGGCAGAAGGTGGGCGTGTCAATAGAGAAATGAACGCATCCCATCTCCTCTCATCCCATGCCATCCGATTTTGCTGGCGAAAGCAAATGGAGCCCAGCCGTCCTTTGGATCCCGATCCCAGCCGAGGCGGGCTGCGTCCCTCGGACCCGCTCCCTTCCTCACACCCTCCCTCCCTCGACTCACTGCCCGTGGGTGGCATGGTGGTTATTGACTAATATTGATACCCTGGAATTCAGCTAGCTATGCGAAGTGTAGCCGGCTCAGCTGGCCGTGAGCTCCATCCAAGGCGATGGTCAGAGTCGCCCTGCAGACACTCTGCACGCGCAGGCTACGCTCTTGCCTTGAAATTTCTGTCGTCATGGGATGCCTGTGGGTTGTGGTGCGTACAAATTACGATCTTCTCTTTCTCTCTCTGTTGAAGCGCATAGAAGTTAACATTCCTGAAATGGGCCCTTGAACCTCAGCACTTTTCTCTGCTTACACCCAAAATATTCGCTGTGTCCTACCAAAAAATCATGATTACTTGCGGCATCTTTGAGCTTACATGGTAGACAACACTCCCTTTGTGCTCTCTTGTCGGCCTCACCAAAACGTGGCTTCTGTGCAATTGTTGCGATAACTTCCCACGTACCGCTCGCTCACTTTTATGAACAATGACAGTTATACTTCGCTCTGGAGTCTGGACTTCGATTCTGAAGTTCTGCTAGTCAAGTCAAAGATGCTTCAAAATAACACTCATACCAGCTTCTCTTCTGCTCCTCCTTTTTGCAGGCACCTCTGCACGGGACTTCTCTTCTGAATACCACTTCTCTTATTCTGATTTGGCCGGTCAGCGTTAGAATAAAACCTTTCCAGGATTCAAGCGGCAATACCACCAGCTTCCAAATCTCTCAGAATCCCAGATTCCATTTCCTAATTTCTTGACTGCTCCGAATCTCCGGCATCCCGCTCCTCATCACCCGCTTCTCGAGGGAAGTCGATTGGTCCTCGATATCGGGTGGGCCTACGAAGCGTGACCGACTCCTTTCGACTCCCTTAAACCACGCTGCCTCCCTCCATCTCGCACTCTCAAGCCACCTTTCTCTCTCTCGCTCTCTCTCTCTCTCTCGCGTTAACGCACATCAAGTACCTCAGGCCATCTGATTGCACTCAATAAATAGCCGTATTTACGTATCAGCGGACGTGTACTGGAAGATAGAGGGCAGCTTTCACCACCGCTCGAGCCAACCCTGCGCCTATATATCAGACAGAAGAACAAGTTCATGCTCTTTCTTTTCTAACAAACATTCCGCATCTGATGGAAGGCGCGAGTAACACAGCGAAAAAGGATGGGAAGACGCCATTCCGTCAAGGATGACCTTGTGTGAAACTGCCACCTTCTCCTCGAACGCCATATACAATTTGTCAAACTTATATTCTGTGGCAGAGAATGTGCAGCTGAGTGTCGCTCTTCTTGTTCAGAACTCGGGAAACAGATCTCGTCGTAGGTCACAGATAAAGTTGTTCCATGTCACAGTCCCTGGACCTACAAACATATTTATATATCTATTTCTATAAACGTGTACATATTCAACGTCATTGCTACTTGTAGAGACCTCCTTTCAAGTTGCTTATCCAGCATTCGAAGCATCACATTGTACGCTAGACATGGCTAGAGCACGCCTGAGCAACGCCTATGGTTCGAAACCTCGTAGCTGTGAGACATCCATTGCATGTCAAGCTTCATGCATGATAAGCTTGCCGCTCGGAATCAACCTGCCACGGGACGAGCTGACATGTAAATAATCCAAGTGTGGTCGTTTATGGCGGGATCGTGCACGAGGTTTTCCAAAGTGAGTTCTGGATACTGCAGGTGAAGTATTTCAGACGTGGATGGACCCGTCGGCCAGAATTCACAGGTTTACCGCTTTTCGTGCGTAGCAGTTGACATATCTTGCCTTTCTCCTTCCGTGTGTTCGACATCTAGACACCGAATTCGTGGTCAACCTGATGTATACAAACGCTCGCTACTCGCGTTGCTTTCCGGAAGATCACTGTGTCCAGGCGATCCTCGTACGGAAGTGACCTCAATTCGCCCAAAAAATTGCCTAGAGCTGAATATCGACTGCGGAAACTCATCGATGGATAAGCGCCCGCCCAGCCCTACAAATCAGACAAAGTTGACAAACCGGCGTATGACACGACCTAAAGCCCAAGAGAAAGTCCAACATTCTAAAAGTTCATCCAAATCATCCCAATTCTGACATTCGGCAGCTGAAAGGTACGAGGCGTAAGTGTGAAGGGTGCGTTGTGCACATTATTGCCCCACTTTTTCGTTATCTCGAGATATGCAAGTACAGGAGGAGAGATAGTCCACAGGAGGAAACATATCTTAGCTTTTCATTCATCCGCATACTTTCTTACTCTCGATCTCGTGCTGCTGAATGCGAGAGGCCGTTATATTTCTCAGCCGTGACTGAACACTCAAAGGCTTCGAGACGAATGTGACGTTGCGCAGATTCATCATATGTACAGAAACACATTCATCGCATTAACCGAACGACTCCGATGGAGCGGCCAGAGGCAAAATAGCCAGGGAATGCAATTTGTAGTAAAGATTTTATTGCATACATGAGTAAGAACAGACAGGACCGCCTAGAGCCGGCATCTATCTCCTTGAAACCGTAAAGGGCGGCACTGCTCGCCGGCTGCATCTCAAGGGCAGGCCACGCAGGAACTACCGTCTCTGCATTCCACAGCAGCAGAATATCAGGCCGTTCTAAGGATTCGATAGCTCCTCATTTTGTACCGATCGAGAAATTGCATCCCCTATCAGGGTTAGTGTTTAATCAAATGGGATTAAAGACTAACCGCGTAGGAAATATTGCTGCTCAAGGGATTTCAGCTACGGAACTAATCTCGCTCTCTAACCTACTTGACGAATTCTACAGTTTCTGTACACACAGGAAGATTACCTATAATTTCCAGTGAGTGACCGTTCCAAGGAGTGTCGTCTGTGCCGGTCTGGACGACTATGGTCATGGAGGGATCCGACGAGCCGAGAGCTTAAGGTGAGAATCAGGCCAGTCGAAGTGCTCTCGAGCCACGAGAGCTGAGCTGAGCTGCTCGAGCACTGCTGTAGCCAAAACCTAAGATCAAAAACCAACTGCCAAGTTCACGAAGACGCTGCTGAAATTGGCGCATCCTTGGGTGATCTAGAAATCCCACAGCACCACCCGACTCGGGCCACCGCCGAGATCCATGTTGACGTTCACACCTTCATTGCTATTCCGGATAGTCGTAGGGTCACCCAACCAGAGCTGATCCGTGGGCTTCGTTATGTGATTCCCATACACACCACCACCGCTGCTGCTGTGATGAGGTCTGGGCATCGAAGCCCCTTGCTCCATATGAGCTGCGATGAAGCGTTCGATGAAACGCGGCGAATGTGAAGCCAAATTGCCAATTATGTCTTCAGAGATTCTCGTGTTCGCCAGCGACTGACCAATCCCTAGGTTGAAATTGGCGCACGGGTGACCGTGCCCGGGATGGAGCATGTGCAATCCCTGGGAGTGGTTCATGGCCCGGATCAGCTCGTGGCTGCCAATGCTCGCAGCTGTCCCATCGGGCCGGGCAGCATTCTTGTTGAGGTGGAAAAAGTCTCCTTTGCTTTGAAGAATGAAGTCGCCCGACAGATCGGGACCCTGGTATCCCTCGCCCTGGTGGCCCGGCCTCCCAATCGCCAGATTTCCCAGAATAGGCAAAGTCGGCGAAAGTCTATTGCTGCTGTTGCTGGTCGACAGCGATCTGACAAGAGGGTTCCCGTGCATCATGGAACTCTGCTGGCACAACGACTGGCTGGATTGCTCGTGAGACGAAGCTTTGCCTCCGCTGAGGCCTTTCTCTGAGCCGATGTTCTCGCCATTGTCAATTTGTTGTACATGAGGACTCACAATTTCCGGGTTCACAATCTCGGGGTCGGCGAAGCCGCCACTCATGTCCGAAAAGCTCCCGCTTTCCGCGTACATTTCCTCCAGGGACATATCATCCATGGCTTTCGAGTGATACTCTCTAAGTTTCCCCCCTTCCGAATGCTCCTGAGAGTCCGTGTAGGGCTTGGCACACTGCCTCACGGCCTTGCTCAACAGGCTGTCGCTGAAACATCTGCGAGCAGCTTGTTGGTTCCCCGCCAGGTCCAGTAAAATCTCAGATATCGGTTTGTGCGTCACGGGATCAATGCCCATGTCGCATAGTTTCTTCTTCAACCGAGTATTCCAGTGATTCTTGATGTCGTTGTCCGTTCGGCCAGGCAGCCTGGCTGCTATCAGTGACCATCTGCATGAAATACATGTCAGTGAGTAAGGGACACGTGAAGGACCCTCAACCCCCCGACTAAAGACGGGCGAACAGATGTTACGCAACCGAGTCCCGCAAGCATCTTTTCGAAAAATTCCTGCTCTACTGCCCAAGAGAAAATTCTGGCTGAACAGGAACCCGAGAATGTGGTCTTTGACCAACTCCTGAATTTCCTCGGCCTATTTGCAGTCCCAGGTACTACTGACAACAACGCAAGTCTGTCAACAACGCCTCTATACAGCAGGTACTGATTGACGAACTAAGGGTAGTAGATCAATAACCTGCTTCCGAAAGAAGCATGGAGGTCCACTATGAGCTTCTCCTCCTCGGGGGAAAAATTCCCGTGCTTGATGTCTGGACGGAGATAGTTGGTCCAGCGCAGTCGGCAGCTCTTGCCGCATCTCTGCAAGCCTGCGGATAATTGACATTTCACTGTTGTCAGGGAAGGAATCATCGTGCGGAGTTCTCGCCCTCGCCTCAAAACGTCAGTAATCAGCAAGGGAATTAAAATTTACACAAAAATAGGCCACAATATTGTAGAGCATCCCAGTGAATTAAAAGTCGCGATCGAGTCTAGTCCACCTCCGGAAGTATTTAACGAGCTTACGATGTGAACGGGTCCTAGAACTAAAGCGATTCACAGGCTACCCTCCGGATAACCTTCTCGGTTAGAGAAGAGGTCCCCGGTTACGGCGAAAGCAGTGCTCCTCGGATGGAGAAGTGCTTCCCTTCGCTTCTATTAAACAAACTGACTGTGAAAGGTGTTCAATCAAAGGGTTGCTAGACACCTACTCGGATTCTTCCCAGCAGTCAGAACACTACACTGCGTTTCCGCGGCCCAACGAACAAGACCGTAGGCCTTGTTAATCGATGGCGGAACGTCCCGTGTGCGTGTGCGAGATGTACTCATGAAGAGGAGACTCAGGCGAGATATATAAAGGGCAACAACGAAAATTTCTATATGTCAGACTGACAAATAGTCATTTTCGTCAACAGGCTCACAACAAATGTTAGTGCGGAGAATCCCTCCAACATCATCCGTAGTTTCTGGGGACGATGTCTCGAGATTTCATGGAGAAGTCGACCATTTTCAGAAGGCACCAAGATCCAATTAGGTCCACAAAGAAGTGACGTTCATGCGTTCGGTACACCCGTCTCTTTGTCGAGGTCACGGAGTCCGACTGTCAGGCGAGGGGACCGACTGTCCAACCTCGCAGGTGTCAACGCACGTCCGACAGCAGTTAATCATTTCACGCCTCCGGCTGGACCGGGACCCGTCGACGCTTTCCAATGTCAACCAGAATAGTGCTCCCTGGGTTAAGATCAGATCTGTCGTAGAATTTGCAGGAAGTCGACTCGCTCATCTGAGTATAAACTTCGGGCCCTTTCCGTCGGGCAACAGCTCCGATCCTGTCCGCACAGCTTGCAAGAGCAGATGAGAGGTACGCGCTCGGCGAGAGACAAGACATACCTGCTTTGCGCCCCACGCTGCGCCAGTGACCTGTGCCGTGTGCTTCTATATACTTCCTTAACTTCTCATCCTCCTCAGTTGTCCAGGCACCCTTCCGTAGGTCTTCGCAATCTTTCACAGACCTGGTCATCCTGCTTGCCTGGCCTTCAATGGTTAGAGAGGGCAACAGCGCCTCAACTCTCGCGACTGGACCCGATGAGCTTCGCAGTAGTGACGGGTCGATGTTTCTACCAATCACTTTCAGGTGATGTGGGCTGTGTCTTGTATATGCATGTCAGAGTGAAAATTAGGGGATCGGAAGATTTTCCCGACGCTTGTACAAAGGGATCCTGAACGGAAAGAAGAGGTAGAGCACAGCGCTAAAGACACGAGAAGGGGGTTACGAGCAGCAAAGGTCACACGCAGCGGAAGTATGTGGAAGGGAAAGCCAAAGGAACTTGGGACATGGGGGATTGCAATTGGGTGACCAATTGTCACAAACTTTGTATGAAAATTAAGGAACTTCGGTCCAGTACACACAGCGAAGAGAGTCCAGATGACTGCTGAGGAGACTAGTCTTCAACGTGTGTGACGCGAATACCGGCACCCATCCTGACGATGGCAAGCCTTGCGCACGGACTTCCGTACGTGAAACTTGAATGCGATGGAAAAAGTATCGGAAGCAGCGTTCAGCCTTCGTAAGCTGAGTGAAGCACGAGCGGTGTCTGGGCCTGTCTGGATATCGACGAGAACTCCAGAAAGTAAGAATCGACTTTTGGAAAATTGCGAAGCTCGCCTCGCCCCACTGCTATGGAAAATTGAGTAACGATGGCCTCCAGAGCCGGAATGCGCGAAGCTGGTTGTCCACTAGGTCCCAGCGCTGCAAAGCCCGATGAGCTGACCAGCAAGGTCGAGAAATAGTCGCCCCCGGATTGCGGACGAAGGGAGAGAACTCCCGATGATGGAGGAGCCTTCAGACCAGATCGCCACAAGGTCGTCGCTGATCCTCTAATATGCCAGCATCGAAGTTCGACCCTTGATAAAGACAAGCCACTTGATAAACTTGGTGGGTGGCGCAGCCAATATCAGCTTCAGCGTTCGAGCCTCTGCGAGGCTTCAAACGAGTTTAGAGTCTCGGGGCAATGAACAGATGAACAGCACGTGCATACAGCTCTCTCCTTGCATCAATGCCTGTGAACACCAAATCTCCGAGGAGCACAAATCCTTCCTTTCAGCACGCAGCGTCTGCACTTCAACAATCCACACCGCAGTAGCTCCTCTCTCTCCTCTCTTCGCTACAGGGCGAGCAGCTCCCACACAGTGGCGACACGATATCCAAAGAACACACCAGCTCAACAGCTACAGTAAAAGTACCCCCCGGGAGTGGAGGCGAGGAGGTAAGATGGCACACTCGAGTCGCGGAAGCTGAGAGTTGCTGCGGTAGTGTAGTATGGGAGAATACCGTGGTAGAAGCGAGATGAGACAGGAAGGGGCAACGAAGGGTCGACAAGATGGGGAGGAAGGGAAAGGAAAATACAACGCCTCGACTCCTCCTTTTCTATGTCTGTGAGAGTGTCTGTCTCGACTCGAACCGGATGACCCTAGTAGTGCTGCTCAGTGGTCAGGTCCCTTTGAATCCTTCTTTCTCCTTCAAGACAAGCCCCTCCACCACCACCTGTCCTTGCTGTCTGTTCCGCAGAGGCGCCTACAGCCAGCCTTCTGAGCGATGATCCTTTCGCAACAGTGCACCGCGCAGGAACTCTTCCGATCCCCTCCCAATCCTTCTTCTCCTCTGTGCCGCTGCTGCTGCTGCCTTCAGAGCGATGCCCTGATCTAACTCCCTCCCTCGCCCTGTCCGTCCACCACATCGCCCGCTGCCATCGTCTGCGTGCACACACCCCCAACCCTTCCCCAGTCCCAGGCCTGCAGCTCTCTCTCTGCCTGCACACACCTGCTCCTATCCCGCTGCTGTACTCCCTACAAAAGACGAAAAGACTCTCCTGGTACGCACCATCGCCTACCTTTGCTTTTCTCTCCTCCTCCTCCCCCTCCTCCTCCTTTCGCCTCTTCTTCTCCGTGCACACTTCCCCATGCGCGATGCAACACCATCACCACCGTATTGTATGAGCCACTCGCCCCGACCCGACCCAGCCATTCATACGGCTCATACGCAGCGCGGCACATACAGCGGTACAGAAGCCTGTATGCGGATGATGCCGCAGTATAGTACGATGCTGCTGTGTACATGCCGGGGTCAAAGCCGCTCGTATTTTACCTGCACCCAACCCTGATTTTCCCCTCGCTATAAGACGCCGTCGCCCGACCCATTAGGCTACGCTAATCAGCTCGGAAGATGCATCAGTCCGGGCAGGCTCTAACGGTCCAGGGTTGACGGCCGGTAAAGCTGGAGAGACCTCACCGGCACTGCGAGGCGAGGCGAACACTGTGTTCGGCATTAGGGGATGAAAACGGCGGCCGGTAAAGCCAAATGTGGAAATGAGAGAGAGAGAGATTGCGAGTGAGAGAGAGAGAGAGAGAGATGAGAGGTCCACGGGCGGCGCCGTACTACCACCGGGTCAACCCAGTCAACTGTGATCGGACCCACCCCTTCGAGAATTCGAGCAATCTCGGGCGCGGGCGAGCCTGCGAGCTACCCGGCCCCCCAGGGGCATCACCTCACCATCCGAAGGAAGGTACTGAATCGTTTGACCGTTGACCGGAATGTACATCACCATCATCCATGAATAATATGGGCATCATGACGGGCGTCGGGCACATCATCAGAAGACTCGGAGACCTGGGGACCCGCCAAGGACGTCATAAGTGAATCTAGCGGACTGTTAAGTTAAATAAAGTTGCCTGCCATTAAGCTCCCCGAGCCCCAAGGGAGACGAGAAGGACGGCCCGGCCCGGCCCAACCCGGCCCTGGCCAGGCTACGGTTGGGTTGGCGGGTGGGGCCTGTCCTTACTACCCAATCGCCATTCCTCCGATCATGTCCTCTATTTGTGAAACCCTTTTCCTTTCAATTCAGACCCTGAACGTACGTTTAGCACCCGAAGATTATTGCCAATCACAATTTCCATAGGCACGTGTACATAGGAGCCTGTGTCTCTTCCTTGACTTATACGCAAACTTCAGGCATCCTGCGGTTCGTCACTGGAGCGGTATCTGGACTCAATGACGCCCTTGTCCAATTTATGCCATTCTGCTTCTCCTCGACGAGAATAAACCTACACAACCAGATGAAACGCGTATAGATCTTCAACCCAGAGCATCAAGTTTTCATCCTGCGCTTCGGATAAAGGTCTTATTCATCATTCTATAGCAGCAAATGTTTCCATCATACACGTCTCGGATGGATATATATGTAATTCCAGCTAGATTCTAACGCTACTTTATGCTGTCTTGCTCGTGAATTTCAAAACGATTCTCGTTCATTGAATAACACCGTCTTTCTTACTACATAAATCATCCTGTTTCTGCAGAAATATCAACAGTTGCAATGAAAAACATGTTTTCCCAATGAGTCAAGTTATTGGGAAGATGCGGAAAATGCATGCGAAGAATGGTGATTAACGCGTTATTCCCACTTGTTCACCAATTCCAACTCAATGCATGTTAGTATCACATTGCAGTGTGCAGTAGTATGAGCAATAAATGTTACAAGATTATGATTTGTGATACACATCCTAGACCTTCCATGGCATCTATTTACGGGTATATAAGTGAGAAAGCAGAGTAAAAGATATAGTTACGGATCACGATGGATTGGACCTCTGACTCCCTTGCCCCTTACTTGCTGTATTCTCTATTAGATTTCATACTTGTTACTCGCGTATCACATTAGTGGTTCTAAATTTTTAAATCTTTAGAAAACCAGCTCATATAAAGGGGTGTTGGATGGAGCAAATGAGGAATAGATCAAAAGATTGCATACACATTTGCATTGCATCAATAATATAATAGAAGTCTGTTGTACAGAAAATCAGTGATATATAGCAACCTCACAGTTGATGGTCTTGTCAGTTGTAACGAATGTAACATCAGTACTATGCAACGTCATTAATAAAGAAGCCTTACCTCCATATTTCCAAGTCTGACAGATAGAAAAAGTATGGCTTTCAAATATTTCGTTAGTACTGCGTTTTTAACAATAACGCAAAATTTTATAAAATTTTGGGCATTTGATCAAAATTTTATTTTTCCCTATCTTGAAAAAATTTAAGAAATTTAATTGGAAAACTAGAATTTTCCTTGAAAACTTTTTAGACCTTCTTAACTAATTTTCTTAATTATAGAAAAAATTATCCAAAATATCTAATATAGTCATCATTTTATTTTTTACTTAAATTTTACTTACTAAAAACATTACACTTAAGAACCAAGAATACGCATTTTCCAAATCAAATAAAGAATTTTAAAATATTAGATGATATTTTTATGCAAATGAATTTTTTTTAACTTCAATCTTATTAATTATTTATATTTGAATAAAGGATCTATCCTTTTCATAAAATCTTTGCGTATTTATTTGCATCAAAGTTTTATCCATGTGTATGTACGAATTTCTTTTTTCATCAGTTTTTTCTTGAAATGATCAAGATGAATATATATGTGTGTAAAGAGTTCATATACATATAACCTACACATTAGTTCAGCCTTAACAAAATTTGGACAAATATATTGTATCAATTATCTGACATGTTTTTGTTAAATATTTAACATAAAGAATTTGTCAAAGAAAGAGAAAATTTGCAAAATCAATTATTACATATATATAATACTAAATTTTGAGAATAAACGTTTTTTTTATAAAATCTAAATGATAATCATCTTCAGAAAGATCTTTTTATGCTAAACACACTAAGTTTCATTATCATATTATAATCAATTTCAGAGTACAAAAAACAGAATTTATTATAATTAGGGAATAAATCTCAAAATTATAAGAAATCATTCAACATAATTTGCATATGTTCATCTTGAAGAGTTTTGTAAAATCAAATTTTAAGATTTCTGATGAGAATATTATACAAGATGTGCATTTAATATCATTGATTGAAATCTTTCATCAAATAATAATGTCAAAAAAACGCTAGATTAAGTGTTTTCATGTAAATTATGCAATGACTTATATCACTTTGAAAATACTTTCTAACATGTTGTGTAGGTTAGATTTCATGATAATTAGTTGTTTGTAAAGTTTGTAACTGATCTTTTTAATAAATTAAAGGAGTTGTCAACATATGTATTTCTAATAAAAACTTATTATTAATTACCATTTTTAAATTTATCGAAATCATGTTATTTCTTATAAAAAGAATATAAAGTATAAGATACATTACATCTTAACATCTTTGATAGTTTTAAGCAACTACTTAATGTTTAATTGATGTTCCATCTAAAATCATTGCAGTTCTTTGACAAGTATGCGAACTATTTTTTTTAAATTGGTGTTATTTCTAAAAATGAAGCATCAATACTAGAAGTGAAGATGAACAAAAATGAAGTTAAAATTAAACAAAATTATTTAATAAAATAATAATGAAAATTACAAATACAATATATGAAATTAACTTGATAATAATAATAATAATTTAAAATAATTTTATAATATCTAAATTTTTCCTTAATAAATTAAAATTTAAACTCAATTTTAAATTCATTAAAATTTTTAAATATTCAAATTTGAATCATATGAATCTAAATTATTATTTGAATTTTTGTAAATCTTATATAAAAATATAAATTTTCTTTATTTTTTAAAATTTTTTTTATCTTAAAAAATGAAAACATAAATTTAAATATTGAAGATTATCAAGAAAATCATTGAATTCATGAAAATATTTTCATGAACGTTCAAGATTGTTATTAAAATATATTGATTATATTTTGACTTTAATATGATGCCTTGTGAATGATATGTATATTATTTTGATTATTTATTTTCTATAATTTATTATTATCTTTAAATAGTGAATATAGATAATAAATTGATAGAAGAGAAGAAAATTTTGTTTAAGGAAATTATGTTATAAATTTTGTTATTGATATAAACTTAATAAAGAATTAGGTGTACTTTAAATGGTTAACTATTTTAGGTTAAATAGACATATAAAACTTTTACATTATTCTAAATTTTTAAATTTTAATTCCAAATGAGTGACTTTTTCCATATAAAAACCTGATTTTTTGAAAAGAAAATATCAATGTGAGATATATATGTTAGTATTAACTCAAATCTTGGATGAAACTCTAATTAACTCAGTTTGAGCTAATGTTAGGTTTAGACTTAACCCTCGTTATGATTTCAACAAAATATGTCAAGATTGGAGTAATCAGATTTTCAATGTCTTTAAGGTTTTTTTAATCATTATCAGTTTTATTGTATCCTTATATTAAGATATTAAAATTTATTGAATGAAAATGATTGATTTTCCGTTTGAAAGATGTTTTTAATGAAAAGAACCTGCATTGTTGTTTGAGATGATTTATGATAAATTCTAATCAAATTATCTTATTCTGGAAATAATATGTCACCAGTCATTGAAGTTGTTCACTTTACAGTTTATATAGATAGAAGCAAAGCAGCGCAAACAATCCCTAAACAGCTAGCGCCAACTTGAAGATCACGTTCGGCTTCAGGTCAACGCATTTAAACTCAAATACCGAGCCAAGATGCACAATAAATAACTTATCGGTGAGCTATTTTTCATAGAGCAATGTAAACCTTATTAGGAAGCTATCTTCTTTCAGAATGTAAAAGAGAGAAATATGAGAAGATTTAAACCTTTTGCCACAAATCGATATGAGCACTAAGAGTATGAAGCATGCAAATTAGCTGCTAATTTACTGCCAACAGATAATTAGCGATCTCTGTCTAGATAATTCTTCACAACTGCAGTTGTCACCATTGACTGGTAAGTAGTCTGAGCAAATTGAAAGGTTAAGTTTATGCTTCTCATGAGCAGAGGAACAAACTGGAATTCGTTTTGTCAAATGGCAAATTAAACATATTTGAAGTACCACGAAATGCCAAGTTTGAACGAGGGTATAAGTCTTGCTTCCTATCTTTTACATGTGCCACCTTTTACTGTTGTACACTGTCAGAAAGTAGTACTTCTTAACGTCACTTCTTTCTCTATGACAGTGGTTCGCCTCATGAATAAATTCTTGGATTGTCCCGTAATGATGTCGTTCAATCATATGCATAATCGTCCCCACATAGTTCCTGCATTTCTTCGTT